AGGAAAGTTCTCTTGTAAGCTTAAGTTTTGCCTTCTCTTCTAAGCTTGAACTCAGACAGCAGCAATGTTTAGCCTAGCACCTATTCACGCTTTCACCAGAACAACCTTCAACTGCTCAGTGTGCCTGCATCAGGCCAAACCCTGTACCTCTGAAAAACAGAGTTCCTCAAACAACAAGAATTTTAAGTTTGTATTTGAAAACTTACCAGGAGCCAGGCATACCTCAGGTATTATTAATGTTATATTAACATAATGACCTACAGTATACAGTATGTAATAACCTACAGTATTATAACTGCTCTTCTACTCTTGTGAGCTACTTCCTAAAAATGGTACTTGTGTTGGAATATACCAGGTGCAGTGTCCAGAAGCAACTTGCAGCCATCCTCAAAAAACAGCTGGAGATCATCCTGGCCCATTCAACTTTAAAGTCAAAAGGAAGATTTATTTTCATTTGCACTGATGCAACTTCAGCACTGCATAAAGTTATTTAATTATTTAATTATTGGCCAGCAGGTCAAAGGAGGTGATCCTCCCCCTCTACTCTGCCCTGGTAAGACCTCATCTGGAGTACTGCGTCCAGTTCTGGGCTCCCCAGTACAAAAAAGACAGGGATCTCTTGGAAAGAGTCCAGCGGAGGGCCACGAAGATGGTGAAGGGCCTGGAGCATCTCCCCTATGAGGAAAGGCTGAGTGAACTGGGTCTGTTCAGCCTTGAGAAAAGGAGACTGAGAGGGGACCTGATCCAGGTCTATAAATATCTAAGGTGTGGGGGGCAGAATGGCGAGGCCGGACTCTTTTCAGTGGTGAGTGGAGACAGGACAAGGGGAAATGGCCAGAAACTGGAGCATAGGAAGTTCCGCACAAACATGCGCAAGAACTTCTTTACAGTGAGGTGACGGAGCACTGGAACAGGCTGCACAGGGAGGTGGTGGAGTCTCCTTCTCTGGAGATGTTCAAGACCTGCCTGGATGCCTACCTGTGCTACCTGGTGTAGGGAACCTGCTTTGGCAGGGGGGTTGGACTCGATGATCTCAGGAGGTCCCTTCCAACCCCTACAATTCTGTGATTAATCTACCAATGCAACATTGGCTTTTGCAATAGGCAGGAGAGCCTTCCTGAAGGCAAGGATGGAGCTTAGTGCATTGCAGTGGGTCATAAAAATCTAGCAATAAACTAACTTTTCTACCACTCCTGTCCTAAACCGTAATCTTAATCATCATTCTAGCCTTAATGAAATTTGGCACTAAAAGCATGCAGAGATGCATCAAGACCTTTAACCCACTTTATTATAAGCCAACTCCAGCCCTAGTCTGAATCCCATTTGAACAAGAACTCAGTTAATCCACGTGAAGCACTACGGATTGGAATCTAACAGAGCTGTTGACACATAGCTCTCGTCAAAGCCCTGACCTTGCAGTATTAAACTATACACTCACCTCCTCAGACCTTCTCTACCAGAATGCTGATCCTTCCCAAGGTTGAACGATAACCATGTAGTTACAGTGGCAACAAAATGTAAAATTAGGATCATTATTTGACAAAATGCATCCTTCAAATTACCCCAGTGGACCCTTTCCCACTCGGGTAGTTACCGCATGCCGTACAGCATTAACATAAAGTAGCCAAAGACTCAGCTGGTAACAGAGCTACCCTACAGCACTCGATAGTGCCAGCAGAAATCCAGCGTTACATCCCTTGCATAACAACCAGCAAGAAAATAAGATCTGCAACTCATCTTGCCTCACAACTGTCTCCAAACATAATCCAAACCAAAAGCATGGTCTAGTGACATTAAAATAAAAATAGGAAAGCTTTTTTGCCCATTTTGCTAATTAATATGTCAGAGCTCATAAAGAAAGACTCATCAGCTTTTCTCCAGCACTGCATCATCTGAAAGAGCTGTGTCAGCAGAGACCTCAGCAGACAGTCAATACATATTAAAAGTGTTCTAAGCAATAAATCAGAACACACAAAAAAAATTTGGAAGAAAAAAAAAACAGCCACAAAGAATTCAGTTGTCTGTATTTCATATAAATCAGGTTATACGTGTTGTAAAAACAATCCTGCCATTCCCTAGCTGTTCTGTAACTACTTTTCTAAAATGGTAATGAGATCGTGAAAAGCTGAGTTCATATTCACTGATTTCTCATCTTTGTGAATTTGCCCTGCTCTAATATAGAGGCCCCACTTGTCTGCTTCTCACCCTCATGGAGTGGTGTTTAAGGAATGCAGACTCACTTTTGCTAAGCACAGAGAAGACTGCAGTAGAAAAAGGTCCTCCTTTTAAGAATTTAGAAAGAGAGGATATCTTGCACACACTCTTTGCCCCAAAGGACAAAGCAGGCCACATCAACACAGCATTCCAGTGCTTGTGCAGTGGTGCTGCAGAAAGCATTTGCAACAACACTAATATCTGTAAGCTTTGCAGGAGTACTCCTCCTCTGAAAAGAGAGGCCAACTATGGGAACCAGAATTCTATGAAGCATTTCTATTGCATTTCTGTGAAAATAAAATACAAGAACGATCCTCCAGCCACCTTCCCATGCAACGTGTTTAGTTCCAGTGTATATCCAGACATGCTTCTAAAATCAGATTTTTTTTATGGAAAAGAATATGAACAGCTGTTTGTGGGTGCAGTACATAAAAAGACAGGAAGATGGGCCGCAGAACAGATCCTTCTCATGCCTTGGTCTTCTGCAGAGTTGTGGTAACACTTTCTGAAATTAACAAACTAACTCCTGAGCTCAGTAACATGTAACGTGCAAGGGATACAGGAGCTATAGCAAAAGCTGGGACAAAATGCTTCAAGAGCCACTGCCTCATAAGAAACAGAAAGGATATTTCCCCAGAGAGAATTACTCATCTGTGTATTTCATAGAACAAGTCATGTTGAAGGAGAGAAGGGATAATTGCATTGATTGTCAGTAGGTGATAATTAATTCTGTAGAGAAATATGCTTAATTTCCTGAAGTCTAGAATGGGATGGAAACTCTTTTTTATATAATGAGAAATTAAGCATTTTGCTCCCAGCACAAGAAGTTGCAATATCTCCCTTACAGCTTTCTTAAAAAAGGTGCCTACAGGAAGGCAGAAGGCAGCACAATGAAAGATGCTACAACAAGAGTTCTGCAACGCAATGGAATGCCAGAAACATACATACATGATACAAATTCCAAATATCAAGTAGTAAAAAGAGATCAGGTGAAAAGAACTCTGTTCTTGAACAAACCTTTAATGGAACAACAAGAAAGCTGAAAGTGCAGCTTGATTTCTTTTCATGAGGGCATAGGAAATGGAACCTTAAAGAAGAAAATAACATTTCAACAGTATCTGAGGAATATTTAAAGTGGACAGAACCAAGAAAATAATTTACGTGCTATCCTTCTCAGAAGTAGCTAGCTCCTTTTATTCTAAAGGAGGAACAAAAAGAGAGACAGACGAGACAATCTGTAGGAAATTTTGGCTCTTAGTTGATCTGCTGGCCACAGAGATTTTAGCCTATTAGAAGAAGATCTTAAGTACATGGAAGAGGTCCGTGGAAGGTAAGAAAAGCAAATGAGACAGAAGTCAGTAAGTGTGGGTACACATTTTCATATAAAATTCTTGGGTGTCTTCAAAGAGATCAAATTGAAAGCCGCTGTTTTCAATAATCTGGAGAAGTATGCAGAAGAAAGATCACATGCTGCTAAAAATGGTATAAAGCTCAATAAGTCTGTGATAACTGACTGACAAAGATTCCTGATCTCACCAAGTTTCTTTTCAATATCCTCTGACAGCAGTAAATTCTGGTGATCTTTGGAATACTGCATGATATTGCGTGCTTGTTGTAATTTCTCTACATAGGATAAAAAAAAAAAACAACAACAACCAGGGGCAACACCCCTTGCTTCTCTGACTTGAAAAGATCCTTTCTTTGAAGCTTTCACATTCCCAAAACAAGAAGTTGAAAGATTTTTTTCTCCACAGAAGTGATAGTGTTATAAGACATATGAACTAGCTCTTTATTCAGAAAAAGAATCCAAGAGGCTCACAGACTTAGGAAAGAAGCCAAAAGAATGTAGAAAGAATTTGTCTACTTTAAGTTCAGGAAAAGGTCTTCAGATAAGGAAAATCCATACCAGAGAACTACAAGATAACAAAACCATAGGAGGACACCCAGTTGTACAGGGAACAACCAGGAATCTCATAGCTGACCTTCCTTCACACAAACTCAGCTTTTTAATTCTGTCAAAGGGGTGGAAAAAGTCAACATACAATCATACAGCAAAGGGGCAGCCAGAAGCCTCAGGGCTTCCTAACATGAAAAGAGATCACCAAATAAACTTGAGTTTTCTAGGAAGGTTTCAATGTTTCTCATGTCAGCTTATTTGTGCCTTGTGAAAATTTACAATCTTACAGCATTTCCTTAAAAGTTCTTATAATATAAGAACTGCAAGTTGTACAGTACTATGGTGTGGTTTGTGCAAATTGTTTAATAAGTAGGAACAGTAACGACAACATTATGGACTAATTGTTCTTTTCCTTTTTTTTTTTTTTTTTTTTTTTTGTTGCAGTGGCCAGAAAAGTTTTAACAACAATAATCTCTACTGCATAAGCATAACGGAAGGAAAAACTCTGACTTCTTTTTCTTTAAACTATAGAATATTTTTGTGTTATCTTCAATAATTCTGGTAGCAGAAGTGGAACTCAGAGCAAGGAAAAAAAGAAAAACTACATTTTTTGAAGTTTCTACATGACATGTGAACCCTCATTTTCTTCAGTTTGCAACACCTAAACTGAAAAAAAAGAGACATCTCTTCCTGCAAATGACTCAGCTACAATATGCTGCTTGGCAAAGAACAGTATTAATTCATTGCTGCACAACACAGAACCAGGAAATACAAAGTAATTTGCCTTAATTTGCAACCTATTTAAGCACCACAGTTTGCGTAGGCTGACTTCATTTACTGGCCATCCTACTTTCAGGTTGCTGGCTCTTCCTCCAAAAAAGAAGTTTACCTGATCTGCGCCCGGCCAAGGAACCAACTTTGCTTTCATCTGCCACTGTAGGAATAAAAGAAAAGACACAAAGATCAGAAACTTACTAAAATTCACACGCCTTTGAAATGCTGTCAAATTATTTCAGATGCACAGCAGACCAAATCTTTAAATTATAATCATTTGTAAAAACTCTTTTTTTTCCCCCCACCCTAATCCACCTAGGGCACTTCTAAGTCCAAAAACCTGAATCAAAGCTCACTGAAACCAATAAAAGTACTCCCAGCAGTCCTTGTGGATTACAGATCAGGACCCCAGCACTTACACGCTCAAAACTGAGTTGTCAGAAGAGCAATTGCATTTGTAAATAACTCATCTTGCCAGACAAATTACAGGGCATAGGAGAGCTGTAACATTTTCAGATCAAAGACCTCAATTGGTAAAAAGAATCCAGATGTGGAAACCTTCTCATGCACAAGACATCTCACTGAGTCATAGGACCCTCTGCAGACAATGAGGTCTCCAAAAAGATTATCTTTCTGAAGGCTTGTGCTTTCTTCATGCTATGATTTATTTTTCAGTTAATCATCCCCGTGTAGAATTTCACAACATCGTATAAAGACAGATGTTTACAGCAGTAACAGTTTGCAGCCAGACTAGCGGAGGAACAATTTCTGAATGTAACAAAAATTGTCATTTCTACTGTACTTCAGTTTATTATCATATATCTCATGAAAATAATTAAAACACTGTCCCAGAGGGCTGGCTGAAAGAACCAATCACTACTTCTTAAAATGAATTCTATGCAAAGAAATGGTGCTAGTGCAATGTTAGGGATGATAAAACAAGCACAGGAAATGAATGTTAGGCTTCAAAGCTTATCCTTTACTCTGTCTGCCCAAGCACTCCCTTATATTATGCCTTAAAATGTGATTTCTTTATACGATATAATAAATTGTCAAGTCATGCTCAAGCCACCATAAATGTGAACTTACACATTCTTTATATAGTGGTCACCATAAAAAGTTTGCAGACAGGGTTATCTGCAGCGGTACAGGAAGATGTCATTTTCTACCCAGGGAAAAGCTCTGCAGCAGTTATTGACATTTAGCAGCTATTACCAGGAAAATAATCGTAGAAAATGCTCTCTTACACTGCCCTCCCCACCTCACTTTTTACCCAAAAACCAGCACCACATTCAGGACTGGAATCATGAATCAATACTTGACTGTTTACCTTGTATCCACTTTTCTAAGCTATCAGACATTTCCCACCATTACTAAAATTAACGCTGTTAAATGATGCTATGAAATGCAGATACAAATAAAGTAAGACTAACAACTGTTTGAAGTGTTATGCAGAGATACTGAAAGGCAAAACAGCAAGAGTAGTCAAAACTAAAGGTACTGCATTCTTTATCCTTTAACTTCTAAGCTTTCCTAGTCCCCCAAAATGATGGTAACTATTCAGCTTCCTGCTATGCAATTTAGCTGATCCTACAACTCAAAATGCCCAGACAAGGACTTTCTATAAGGACAGTTACAACTCTTTTTCCTCCTCTTTCCCCCAGAATTTACCTCTGAGGAGAACACTACCATGGAAAACTTTTGTTCTAAAGGCTAATGCTTTGGCAAGTTATATGATTGTGTGGAAACAAGGGTTTATAATAGAAACTGATACGCAACTTCAATTATAGCAGTCACTAACAGCAATCACTGTAATAAATGATAATTAGTTGGGGTAGGCAATGTTACACTATGTAGGAGCTTGAAAAATAATAGATCCCAAGGTTCACAGCATTTCTTAAAACCATGCTGATGCCTGGCTCTGCCTGAAACTAAGTTTTGTTATTAAAAGAGGTAAAGCCATTTGAATTAATCATACTTTACAGACCAGCTTCACATGCAAAAATTAGATTTTAATACTGGAGGGAAAGAAGAAAGAAAAAAAAATGATTAGGAAATGAAAAATAATCCTACCAGAAAACAAGGTTAGCAAAATGCATTTAAACACACGCAAAATGGGGAGCAGAAAAATTGAAGATTTGTATCAGTCTGTGCAAAATGTCGGCCTTTCCACAAGACATTTTTCATTCCATGAGGTAGTAAGCCTAGGCAGTAACTTGGAGGGTATCCACCTCTCATTAGAACGGAGTGGCGCAGACTCATCTGCTGCTCAAGAATTCCACTCATTAGCATCCCTTTTCCTTGGGGAACAAACAGAAGATGACAGAAAAGTAGGAAAGGCTAATGAGAATAAATACTCATTTCCTTCAACTTTATATACATGCATAAGTTGAAATTTTTCTCACAGGAGATTTTATTTAGTATATAAGATGTCCCCTTTGACAAAACAGCATTTTTGGGTACTATTTTGCATGATGTTCAAAATTGACGCAACTGATCCGTTGCAACAGAAGTAGTATTTCTCTGGCTCTCCTTGGCTATGGAAAAAAGTGCTAAATAGGAATGTATGTTTTAAGTTCACACTAATGTTGGTTTACGTTTGCAGAAAGGCACCTGAAAGATTTTAAAGAAGCAAAACATACTGTCTAATCTCAACACTCAAGTAAAAAGAAATATTTTCTTACTGTAACATCAAAAAAAAATTACATTACAAGTATGCAGAATTTCAGCTCAATAGGATCACACTCAGAATCCACAGCATCTGACTGGCGTGTATCAGAAAGGCATTTACAACAAAACTTCAACTGCAACTATTTGGATGGGAACGCTCTAAACAATGCGTATTCATGAGCTAGCATTGTTGCACACGATACAATAAAAATAGCAGGGAGAGATCAGTGCATGAAGTATATCACACAAAGAAGAAAATTGTCCTTAACTGGTCAATCAGAGACTTTACACATTGAAATGTCCCTAAACTACAGGGGATGTCAGTTCATGAAGTTATCAGTGTTTGGAGCATAAAACATGCTAGTTCATTTAAACCCAACTTCTACTGTTTAGGAGCTGCACTGTCATCACAGAAGCCAGTTACATACTCACTGCTAGTACTTTAAGTAATTACTGACATGATTGCGACTGACGTTCTACAGCTACATAAGAAAAGCATGTACACTTGGGGGACCAGCAAGACTCTAGATTATATAAAATAGAATATTACGAAGAAGAACAAATGCCAACAACCAAAACAAAAGGTTAAAAACCAAACAAACTCTAAGTTAGGACTAAACAATTGTATTAGAATTTCCTATGGTAATTTTTTAGAAGGTTGTTTTGCTTCAAGAAACCAGGCAGTATTGTTCAGCAGCAGTAAAAGCAACCAGAAAGCATCCATATCCTCCGTATAATCTTTTGGGTGACATTTCTTTGCCCCACTAAAGATAACCAATGTAACCTGCATGACTGCCAATCATTTAGTGTGCAACAAATCTTATGTGCTGCCTCAGAAAGAGTTTGCATCTACACACAGCCCACCTTGAAGGGTCAAGCTACTTCCAAACTGTTGTTTAGGGAAGCACAAAGAAATGCTGCAGCCAGCTGTGATAACAGATTTTTTCTTTTTCCCAGTGCAATCTTTCTACAAAATTACCCTATTTATCCCCAAAACAAGGAGTCACTGCTATTCACAAGATGCAGGGTAACAGTCTTCAACTCAGTGCCTTTTTTGAATGATTTGTCACATTGCCCAATAGCTACTGAAATCCTCTGAAAGTTAAACTGCATTTCTAAAATTTCTGTTGGACAAACTAACAAATGTCTTTGAAAACCAACTGTAGTTCTACATCAGAATAAAAGCAAACAGGGACTAAAAATTACAATAAATGGGAAATAAGAAGAGCGCCTAAAAAGAATTTCCTAGAGAACAAATGTCCATTATCAGTTGGTTGGCATCCCAATACAAAACTTCTTACAGTTAATTAACAATGGACATATTCCCAAATCACATACGCAAATGGTGCTTCTGTGCTTTTTAGAATCTGTCAGTTTCTGTGGCATAAACATTAGAAAATAAAGGAAGGTGACAAATTGGTCACCGTTTTTTTCCAGTGGACTGTATCCGTACCCAGGCCTTTCAGCATAATGAAGGCACTGCATCATCAATTAATTTTAGTCAATGATAGTGCCAATGACATAATTCTCCTGCCATATTTATTTCCTCGGTGAAGTGTTTCCCCTTCTAGGAGTGACATAAATTACTCACAGAGAATGTGTCAAATGCTGGCTCACAACCATCACTTAGAAAATGCTGCTGGCTGTTCTGGGTTTTCACTGTAGTTCTTTGTAAAAAGACCACAGACTTTTATACTAAAATCTACTGAACTGATAAACTGAGCATGTTAGGAAGGACAAATTTGCATAGTCTTAAAATCCTTTCCTTCAATAGTTTCCTCTACTCTCTGCAAACGATGGTGAAAGTTTAACAGAGCCTCTCCCTGTGGGCCCCTTTTCAGTGCTGGAAGGCTGCAATGATGTCTCCCTGGAAACAAACAATCCAACTCCTTCAGCCTATCCTCATAGTAGAGGTGCTCCAGCCCTCTGAGCATCCTCGTGGCCTCCTCCGGACCTGCTCTAGGAGGACACTGTCTCTCTTGTGCTGAAGGCCCCACAGCTGGATTCAGGCAACTAATGAAGGTGACATAGAAGGGATGAATCATCTCCTTGATCTGTTGGCCACGTTTCTTTTGATGTATCCACTAGTACCCCCACGTCATTTTCTGCAGGGCTGCTCTCAATCTGTCACCCAGTCTGTACTGATACATGGAATTGCCCCAACCTCAGTGCACAACCTTGCAACTTGGTCTTGGTGAACTTGGTGAAAACTTGGAGTTTTGTGTGGGCTCACTTCTTAAGCCTGTCCAGATGTTTTTCCTTCCCTCCAGAGAGTCAACTGCATCACTCAGCTCGGTGACATCTGCAGACTTGCTGAGGTGTATTCAATTCCACTGCCCGTGTTAACACTGAAAATATTAGACCGCGCTCATCCCAGTGCAGAACCCTGACGGACAACACCACTCACCTCTGGTCTCCTCCTGGTATGTTAACACACAGAAAGGAAAATACAAACACCTAAGTTTGCTGTCTCTACTACGTGTTGTTTAA